AGATTGGAGCCCCGGACTAGTGGACTGGCATTAGGACCTAGGCGGACGCGCTGGGGGGTCGCTGGTGGAGGCCAGACAGAGACGTCTGCTGGCCTCCTTGGAATCCCCACGGCTGACCTTGGAGCTGGAGGCTCAGTCAGAAGGGGACCGGGGAGAGATTCCGGAATAGGTGGGTCATTTTGTTTTGTTTGTTTGTTTGCTTGCTTGTTTATTCGTCTGTTTAGTCATTTTGTTACTTGGGCCTCATTTGTCTAGTCTTTACACCTGTGTGATTGTGCGAGTGATTTTTTTGGTCCTGTGTCTAGGATTTCCTCTTCTTTTCAAGAATGGGACAGACTGTGATGCCGTTGTCTATCCTTATGAGTCACTTTAAGGATGTGAGGGAGAGGGCACAGGATCTGTCCTTGGAGGTTAAAAAAAGAAAGCTTAGCCGGGCGCGGTGGCTCATGCCTGTAATCCTAGCACTCTGGGAGGCTGAGGCGGGCGGATTGCTTGAGGTCAGGAGTTCGAAACCAGCCTGAGCAAGAGCAAGACCCCGTCTCTACTATAAATAGAAAGAAATTAATTGGCAACTAATATATATAGAAAATTAGCCGGCATGGTGCGCATGCCTGTAGTCCCAGCTACTCGGGAGGCTGAGCAGCAGGATTGCTTGAGCCCAGGAGTTTGATGTTGCGTGAGCTAGGCTGACGCCACGGCACTCACTCTAGCCTGGGCAACAAGCGAGATTCTGTCTCAAAAAAAAAAAAAAAAAAGAAAGCTTATCACTCTTTGTGAGGGTGAGTGCCTAAGTTTGGGGTGGGATGGCCCAAGGAGGGCTCTTTTGATGCCTCCCTCATCGAAAAGGTAAAAGGGTGGTGTTTGGCCCCACCACGGCCATCCCGATCAAATTCCTTACATTGTGGTCTGGCAGGGTTTGGTCCCAGGACCCCCACCTCATTAAAGATCCTCCTGCCTGCCCCTAAGGAAAAAGCTAAGATTTTGGCTGCTAAAGGGGTTGAAGAAGGGCACAATGCAGCACTCACGGCCCGCAGGGCCGCCCTCTGCTGGCACCTCCCTGTGTTGCCGACTCAAATCTGTACCCAGAGTTGGAGTGGAATGCACCCCCGCCCTATAATTTCTCGCGGGTGGTGCTCGATCCCACCCCCTTGTGGCGGCCACCGAACCGAGCACTTGCCCCTCCCGGCGCCCTCCCTACGGAACCTGTGCACTTGCCCCCTCCGGAGCGCCCTCCCCACGTGAGCCTGCGCACTTGCTCCTCCCGCGCCCCCTCCCAGAGGTGCTCGACCCGCCTCCCTGGTGGTGTGGTGCCCGCTGCGCACTGCGGCGGCCTATAGCCCACTATGGACCGCTGACGGGGAGACGGCTTTGGAACGTAGGCCGAGGACTGGATGGGCTTCGCCAATCATGGAGCCGTGAGGGCACTCCCCCTAAGAGTGCGGGACCCCCCTGGAGCAGATGGGAACAACAATACCGAGTACTGGCCCTTCTCCACCAGTGACCTCTATAATGGAAATCCCAAAATGCAAATTTTTCTGAAAATCCAAGGGATTTAATTAACCTTTTAGAGTCAGTCCTTTTTATCACATCCAGCCCACTTGGATGATTGCCAACCAGTTGCTCAAGGTACCTTTTTACAACCTGAAGAGAGAGAGAGATCCAAGTGAAGCAACAGAAGCGGCTCCAGGAAGAGGACGGCACCTAACATAAACCCAAAGTTGTCGACCAGACCTTTCCTCTTGAACGGCCCGCCCCTGGGGCCCTGGGATTATATATGAGGCTGAAGGTAGGGCAATGTCTCCTGGGTCTACCGCCAGACTTTTGATGGCCCGTTCTCCCGAGAGCAGCACGGAAGCTGACCAATTTGGCTAAGGTAGGAGATGTCCTGTCCGGGGCCCTGAAGGGAAAGTCCAGCAGCCTTTACCTAGAAAGAATTAATGGAAGCCGTTTTCCGGCAAGTACACTCTATAGAATCCCACCGTATGAAGAGAAGTAAAGCGGCCGTCACTGATGGCCTTTGTAATCCAGGGCAGCCCCAGACCATATGGTGAAAGGCAAAGGAATAGATAGGCTTGTGAAAACTCTACAGGACTTCTAGAGGTGGCAAGAAAAGTATACGAATAACAGGGAAATGCCCGAAGAGAATTAGAGAGACCAAAGATGAGATAAGAAAAGTTTCAAGCAGGCAAGGCAGCGCAGGGAGAAGCAATTAATGGCCAAGATCCTACTCGCAGCTATGGGAGGAGGTCAGGCTAGGGTCCCAAGAGGCCAGACGACGCAGGAGAAGAGAAGGCTATGCAAGAATCAAGTGCGCCATTGCAAGGAGCATGGACACACTGGGCTAGGAAATGCTCCAAGAGAAAGGGGGGATGATAGAACTGAATCCTCCCGAGAAGGTATGGTGTGGGCCAAATAGAGATGAATAGGAGGGATGGGTTCGGTTCACCCCTCCCCCAAGCCCAGGGTAACTTTACTAGTGGAGGGAGCCCCAGTCAATTTCCCTGGTAAACACAGGGGCAGAACATTCGGAGTTACTGAAACCATGGGAAAACTAGTCTAAAAGACTAGCTGGGTGCCAGGGGGAAACTGGACCAAGCCCTACCAATGGACTAACACAGAGAAAGTTTGGACTTAAGTTGGACAAGTGAGTCACGCCTTAATGGTCTTCCAGAGTGCCCCACCCCAATTATTAGGGAGACATACTCACAAAATTAAGAGCCGCGTATTTAACCGTTGAATGAAAGAAGAATAATAATAAACTGATGTAAAGGCAACCGTTATTACATCCCCCGGGTCACTCAATCTTGACCTTGGCACAGGAGGATGAAGTATAACTATACCAGCCCGTGAGGAGCCAGGAAAAGGACATAGACACTGGCTCCGTGTTTCAAAGCCTGGGACTGAAAAAGGGGGTGCAAGAATGGGCAAAGCATCGGAACACCACTCTCAAATACATTGAGTTAAAACCAGGGACTGGACCA